AAAATGTAGCAGCAGCCCACATCACTAAACTGCTGGTGCTAGTGGACAATCCAACTGACTGTTTGCCTGCAGTAAAAGTTCAGTAATAAGAATTAAAAACAGTGCCACCAACATAACATAGCTGCAAAGCCACTATAGCAGGGCCTTTCTGTCTAGTGTGGGACAGATCCTCAGCTTGAAGTAGTATAGCTTCAACCAAAGATCTAGCTCAATGCATTTTTTCAGGGTAAGGAAAGTTTTCCAATGAAAAGCACTTCCCCACAGCTCTACTAGTCTACTCTGATTTCACCCTGACTTTAGCAGATGACATTCCTCTGTCCCTTCAGTGGTCACAAATCAGGTCAACAGCACATAGCTGTAGAAGTGGCAGCGACATCAAATCCTCCGTGAGAACGCCTATTGAGCACTGAGGTAATAATACTTCAGTAGAACGTTGGTATCAATGGGAATGCTGGGCGGTCCAGTATGTCTAATCTTTCTTCTGTACCTTCCCTTGGGGAAGGAAAGGTAGGTGTTTTCCCAGATTTCTTAAGCCTCCTACAACAGGAATTGAAAGTTTTGTCCTCTTAGGGAAACAATTCCAGCTAATTCTTAGCTGGAATTGGAGAGAAAAATGTGACTGAAGTATAAGGGAACCTTTCACCTTGAGGAAGGCAGCGTCTGCTAAATGTATTTTTCCCTGTCATATTTTACTGCTCTATTATTTTCAATCGCATTTTACAGTGCTGGGCACCCTTAAAGACTTGTAACTGGCCAAGGGAGGATTTTTTTTCACAGGGTTGGAACAGTGGGAGATGGCTGCAAAGCTGTTGCTTGAGGCTCCCCCCACCCCCTTTACAAGTGATGGTGAGGATGACATGCTAGTGGCAGGATGGTATGCTGGAGGTATGATGGTAGCAAAGCAGCGCTGCTGAATTGAAAATGTAAGAGAAAACATTGAACCATTAGATAAATCTTTGGTGTACTGACATCTTAAATACTGTATGCAGTTCTGGTCACTCCATACCAAAAAAGGATATAGGAGAACTAGAAAAGGTAATAAAGGTAACAAAGATTATCAGGGTCATGGAACAACTTCCATTAAGGAGAGACTGAAAAAGCTGTGATGCTTCAGCTTGGAAAGAAGACAACTTGAGGGGGATCTGATACAGAGCTATAAAAATCATGAATGGTGTAAATAAAATGACTAGGGAATGACCTCTCATAATACAAAAACTAGGTGACACCCACTGAAATTATCTGGCAGCAAGTTTAAAACAAACAGAAGGAGATAATTTTTTTTTTTTTTTTTTTTTTACAAAATGAAAAACGGGTGTGTATAGAAGTGCTCTGTGCATGTTTCACAGCACTGTAATTTAGAGTACTTTTTATAGCATGTTAAAGTTACAGCAAGTGCAGTGTTGGGGGCTCTGAGCCCTTTCCAGGCTAGGAGGTAGGGGGCATTCTGCAGCCTCCTGGGGCTTCTCCACTGGTCAGAAATTTGACCACTGTACAGAAGTTATTTAAAGGGCTGTAGATTGCTAACGTGCTGTAAAATACAGCACTTCAAATTTAATATCTCATTTAACAAGGGTTAATTTAAAGCAGTGTTTCTCAACCTTTTAAGTAACAAGTACCCCCTAACTTCTGAAAATGGTAATAAGTACCCCAACACTCAATTTTCCAGGGGATTTTATATTTACAGACTAATGCGTGCCATATGTTGAAAGAAGGGCTGTGTATATAAGGCCGTGATATGACAGATGTCTGATCTGATGTGGGTAGGGTTGCCACCTTTTACACCAGGGGTGTACAACTCGAGTATGTACCTGGGCTAGAGGTGATATTCGCCAAAGCTAGGAGGGCTGAACCCAGCGCCACACAAAGCGTGGGATGCTAAATTATTACTAGGGAATTTAAAGCAGTGCGCGTTGTACCAAATTTTTTGCCATATTTTGAGAGGAGGAAGGGGTGAGAGAGAGAGAGAGAGGAAAAGAGGGCGAGAGACAGAGAGAGTGTTGGGGTACCCACATACCCCCTGCCTGTGTCTCGCATACCCCCAGGGGTATCCGTACCACAGGTTGAGAAAATGTGATTTAAAGCACCGTACTCATTTTTAAAGTACTATAAAGCCGTGCACTTTTGTTAAGTTATGGCAATAAAGTGCTTTAAATGGTGAAAAAGCAACTTCTGTACGCTCCCTTAACTTGTGGAATTCACTACTACAGGACATTGTGGAGGCCAAAAATACAACTAAGTTCAAAAAGAGATTAGATGAATTTATGGAGGATAGGGGGCCATCAGACAACAGATAGGAATATAATCACAACTCAGGTTATTCCTTAGTTTTCAGTTGCTGGTGCCTCAGAGGATAGAATGGGATGGATCACTACTCGTGCCCTGTTTCTTATGCTATTCCTATAAAACAACTGCTACTTGTAACTGTGGGAAACTGAAGACAGACTTTTAGTTTGATGTAGTATGGTAGGTCTGTGTTCTTATGGGATGACAGGTGATTGCCAGTATAGTACATTTTTTTTAACAGTTACTGTTCTCTTAGGTTGCTGACAGACATTTGTGTAAAGGCACAATGGCATCTCATCCCTGATAGATATCAAGAGTTGTGCCTTCTGCCATGACATGTGCATAGTAGAATGCACAGTGTTTGGGATTGGGGATCAGACCCTGATGTTGTCCTATTTGCCCATCATGATCCTGGATTCCCCCTGGGCTGGCAAAGGTGCTCAACAATCAGCTGATTGTTGGCTGGCTCTAGGGACCAACTACAGCTAGCGTGAGCCCCTCTGTGGTCCCTGAAGTGAGCTGCAGATCAGCTGATTATTGGTAGTATTGAAACTGCACTGAGGTTTGAATCCCAGTGAGGTCCTGATCCTGCCAGCAATCAGCTGATTTTTGGCTGGCTCTAGGGATGGCAGAAGGGCTCAAGCCCTGGTGTAGTCTCAGTGCTGCTGATCAGCTGATTCTTGGCAGCGCTAGGTCACACTGGGGCTGCCCTGTGCTGTCCTAATACTACTGCCAATCAGCTGATTGTTGGCTGGCAGGGACCGTGCGGACAATCAGCTGAGCCAGTAAGTCAGCTGAACCAATAAGGACCACACTGGGACCAGCTGGAGACCCCAGTGCAGTCCACCTGCCCACAGGTTCATTTTAAGGTGTGAAGGAAACCAGACACAAAATTATTACTCATATTTGTGTAATAAATTTGTGGCTGGTTTCTCATTTTGTTGTACCATTAATTTGCTGGACCTGTGGCTGTATGACACTTTAAGATGCTATTAACTAGTTGATCACATCCTATGTGTAATGTCTGCCAGGGGCCTTAGAGCAGTGTTTCCCAACCTTTTCCAGCCTAAGGCACACTTACATTATTAAAAATGTTCTGCGGCACACCGGTTAAGGCATTCCCCACCTTCATACCTATTGTAGCTCATTGCCATGGCAAAATTCTGCAGCACACCTGTTCATTTCTGATGGCACACTGGTTGGGAAACACCGCCTTAGAGGAACTGAGCTGCCATCTCTGGAAAATTAACTCTTTCCATGGAAGAACAGCATGAGACAGCAGTAGTGGCAATTCCATTACACCCGTGAGGTAATGCTAAACAGCAGTAGGGTGTGACACAACTATTCCCTCAGATTTTTTTAACTGCTGTATTCACGTACAACGATGGTTAGCAGTCATGATGCTGACAGGATTTATCTTGGGCTAAACATTCAGGACCATGTCAATTACCATTCTTGTTCAAAACTCTTATTCAAATTGAGTAAAATTGGGCGTGTCTACACATGTCACTATGGCAATGTTGTTACTGGCTTTAGCACTTCCAAAAGGAAGTACTAAATCATGGTGTAGTAACAGTCCGTACTGCACCATACGCATGGTTATTTTTAGTAGCTATTTCACTGTAGTGGCATGCTATAGCAGGGGAGCACGTCACTGGTGAAGTAGCTGCTGGTCATGTGTATACACCTGCAAACACTACCTTGCCATAGTGCGTTGCTACAGTGACATAGCATCAGGTGTAGATGCACCCATTGCATAGCTTTGAACAGGCCTAAGAGCTATTTATAGGTTTTTCTTGAGTCTTGCCTTATCTTTCTCTGTAACATGGGCTCTCCAACAATGTGAACTCTCTCTCCTAAAATAGTTCTTAGTAATGAGGTTACGCAGCTTATGAATACTCATTTTTATATTCTGTACTGCCTTTTGCCTAGTACTAATAAATTATATAATTCTTCACATTGCATTGAAAGGGGAAGCCTTTCACAACATCTCCCTGTGACTTGTAACTTGAAGTACCTGTGCCCCTTCTCCCCCACTCAGTCTCTCCCCAGGTACAACTAGAACCTGGTACCATAGTAGCAGTAGCTGAGCATCTTACAGACATGAATGAATTTATCCTAATGCCATCCTTGCAATGTAGAGAAGTGTATCTTCACTGAACATTTGTGAAACTGGCACAGAGCAATTAAACGGGCCCATTACACACAGTGGTAGAGGCTGTGACAGTCAGGAATTGGACTCAATTGAGTTCCCATCCTAGGCCTTACCCAGAAAACACCCACAGACAGAAATGTACCACAGTAAGCTGGCTAGCATTTGACACACCAAATCCCAAGTACAGGGTTGTTGTAAAGGGCTGTAACCTGTAAATGACATCTGTGTTGGACATGGGATCATCCCAACTCTGTTGAAAAGGGGAAAGAAGGCCTACAGTGCTAGATCATAGCTAGTATATCTCAGAGATTATTGCATATTTGCCATCTAATTCAGCAAAAGCACAATATGATTTTCAGCCTTTTTCTGATTTGAAAAAGCCACTGTTCTACCTCTTTCTGTAAGAGACTTTTATACACCCTCTTACTTAGAACCATACTTTTTCAGCTCACTCACTAACTCACCATAGACAATTCCTTTAATCCCAGCCACTGCCCCAAAAAAGAAAGAAATGTTTTGAAAAAAACAAGGCTAGAACAGTGAAATTTTAAATAATGATCAAGGATTTTTTTTTATTCATTTAAGTTTCAATATCATTACAGAAAATGTTATGGTACAGAGTTGTTTAACATTAGTTTTATTTCTTTGCTCATTTAATTTCCACACGAATGCTGGTAACACTAATATCTGTACAAGATCAGTCTTTGATTTTTTTTTAATTTTCAGTTCTGTACATTTTTAAATGTATTGGTTAAAAAGGCTGTCAGCACTTAAGGAAGCAATTTTTTTTGTTTGTTCAAATAAAAGGTATCCAGTTACTGCCCAAGAGTACTGAGCTGGGTGGCTGCTGGGACAAGAGAGATCCCTGAATGCACAGCGAGGGGGGAAACCTCGGGGCTTCATTGGGTTCCCAGTGCAGCCACTCTGCTTTTGGCACTGTGCACATCAACACGAGATACAAGATAAAGAACAAGCAGAAGCTCTCTGTGAAGCGGTTATGAAGCATACTAATAAGGGAAATCCAAGTGTTGTCTACGCTAGTATAAATAAGCAGACAGCCTTGTTTTAAGAGCATAAGTAGTTGTATCTTAAAGATGAGAAAAAACACAAGTTCTGCAGGCACCTACTGCTGTCTACTAAAAGCTACCGCTATCAGAACTAGCATTGAACACACAAAGCAATTGCAAGAAAGGAAAAAGTTGCTTTGATATAATCAGAATAAATTTCTTTGTTAAGATTTGTTTTTAAAGATTTTTTTAAAAGGTATTTATTTAAATTCCATTTGGAATATAGTTCAAGATGTTGACTATACTGATCAACTTTTATCCAAATCAGAAAAACTAGCTGTGCCGTTGCATATTACAGGATACAGTCAATGATATGTGGACATGCATCAAAGCTTCACTCTTTCTGGTGGCATCATAGCCTTCCAATGACCATGACATCCACCACCTCCCCCTTGTGAAGTTCCACATACTGCTCTGTCTTTGGAGGTAGCATCAACAGTCCATTGGCACTGCGCATACTCATCAGACGACTACTCATCTGATTTCCTAGAGGGAAATGAAAGAAAGATTCCAATTAGCAGTGCAAATGCCACAAAACATCAGTTCAGAAGAACTTAATATTCTCAGTCTTTTTTGGTACCCTCAGCCTTGCAACATGTCCTGAAGGTAAACAATCTGGGCACTCAGGACCAATGGAGAAGTGAACAGAGTCAAAAGTCATCACAGAGAATGCTCTGCCCTTTGCTTCCTGCTTTTCAAACCAGAGGACTGACAATAAGAGCACCCCTTCTGCCTGAAACAGGACAAAAGAGACAGTGCATAGGAAAACCAAAAATTCAATCATGTGGTACCTCGCAGATAAAAACAAATACCTCTGGAACGGAATCAATATGTGGAACTGAATCAGAGCCTCTCCAGTCTGGGAAACCAATACTGTGGAGTGCTAGCAAGTCACAATCTCTGCTAACTGAAGAGTCCAGTGGCCTCCAAGGAAGGCTGCGTGTAGAGGGCAGGGTCAAACTCCTAGCCTATGCAGAGCCGTGCTTTAGTACTTCCTTTTGGAACTATTAAAGCACAGCACAGTAATCGCCCATCCTGCACCATGTTGTGTGGCGCACAGATTTTGCCGCTGTGTGTGCTATAATGGGGGAGTGCACCACTACGGCAACATAGCTGCCAATCATATGTAGACTCACATGATCACTACATTGCCATAGTGTGCTGTATGGTGACATACTGCATTGCTACGTTGCTATAGGGCGACATGTAGACATGCCCATGCAGATGGAAAAAGTGCTCAACAGTAGTTGTTACCATAAATTCTGGGATCAATTCAGGATCTAACAGTACCCTCACACATCACAAACCCTGTTAACAGAAAGTGATTTTGACTGAGAGAACACTTACCATCTGCCAGCTCTTCTGGCTATTTCTCACATTCAGCTAACGTCATCTCTGTTTTTATCTGAATTGAGATTCAGCCTGGCAGCCTCCATTCAGACCCCAACTTATATTTGTGTTTAGTGGAAACATGAAAATAAGCAAGTGTGTGCAAAAGCAAAGATGTATGAATGCATGTGCAACAGAATGTATGCACACAAACAGGAAGATGTACACAAGAAAACATGCACGTAGAGTGAGTGCATGGATAGGCAATCATGTGACCATACGCTTGAGTATGCTAGCAAATGTGTTTGCCACATCATGAGTGCATGTTAGTGTACATACATGGGTGTGTATTAGGGATGTTCAAAGCTTTGGTTGCTGATTCGATTCAGAGGAGATTTGGCCCAATTCAGAAAAGATTTGGAAAGCTTCGGAGATTCAGGTAGTCCCCACTCACCACTGCAGGGAGCCGGACCCAGACTTTGTGCTGGTAAGTAGGAGGTGGAGGGGGGGCTGGCAGAGGGGGGAGGGGCCCGTGATCCCCCCTGCCCTCCACTGCCCAATGCTGCATGGGGGGGCTCTGCCATGAGCCCCCACCCCCCGCCTGCTTTCCCAGCCCCATTGATAGCTGCCCGCCCAGCCCCAGCTCCCAGTTCTTTAAAAAAAAAAGCCCTGCACTCGTTGGTTGTTGCAGTGGCCATTGGGCTCTCTGGGGGCTTGTGGCAGAGCCCCCCATACAGTGTGGGGCAGTGAGGTGCAGTGGGGCTTGGCCCCCTGCCTGGCAGGAGCTGGTGAGTGGCTTTTTTTTTTTTTTTAAGAGCTGGGATGCTGGGGCCAGGTGGGGCAGCCATTGATAAGGCTGGGAGAGTAGGTGGAGGATGGGGCCTGTCCAATTTGGAAATTTGGCCAATTCGGCAGCGTCCGAATCTCCAAATCAGATTCAGCCATATTGATTCGGGACAGTGATTTGAATCACTTATTCGAATCACTGTCCTCCAAATCTGAATCTGAATACTAGCCGCTTTGCATAGGCCTAGTGTAAGTATATGTTGGTGAATGAGCAAATATATGTATGAGTGAGCCTTTGGGAACAAATGCATGTATGTGTTTGATTGGTTGTAAATATTTGTGTGGTTGAGTTTGTCTGTGTAAGTGACTAACCTGTACTCTGTGCCCAAGGCAGTGGTTCTTGGTGATGCCAAGTCAGTATGCACCGATGGTATTCTGGGCGAGGATCCAATTTAACATCACATGATAACTGCAAGAGAAGCAGAGAAAGGAAGAAGAGACAGCCTGTCATTCACAGTCCATTATCCAAGATACCCACATTGTCAGGCCAACTTGTTCTTTCTTGTTTCCTTAAAACTTGGGTTTGGGTCTGATGTGCAAGACCCATTTAGGGTAAGATAAAAAGCTCAGAGGTGGTAGCGGTGGCATTGAGAAGAAATGTGTTAGGAGCTGAAGGACAATGATTATGGCATTAGAATATCAAATATTGTTTGGGAGTTTGTTTTTGTAAAACAGATACAGGTTTCCCTTACTTTATGCTGTACATGCATTCCTGGAAAACAGCACATAACTCAAATTCACATAAAAGGAACCCACTTTACAATGTAAGAAACAGGGATACGTTCCAAGACCTCGACTGTACTGACCCCCAGACCTATTTCTACCACTTTTACAAGAGAATTTTAGTACTCACCAACAGCAGACAGTGCACAAAAGCACAGGGCACTGTCATAATGGGGAAAGCAACTACAGAAACAAGTGTTGCAGATAATGAGCGTGGAGTACAGATCTACACAGGAGACTATATTTTGTTATGCGTCACTCTCACAATGCATCGCACAAAGCAGCTGACTGCGGGCTTCCACCACACTGATCGCATAAGAGTGAATTTACCTTGCATATAACGAACTTTTGGTATAAAAAGGGTCATCACGTAAGAGCGAATTCACACATAAAGAACCCACATAAAGTGAGGGAAACCTGTATTTAAAAGCTGGTTTTTCACTACGGTTTGAAGAGAACAGCTTGGTGGAGAAAAAATATTTAGAATTTGTTCATTTTTCCTGGATTATGGTACAAATCAGTAGGACTCTGATACACATTCAAACTACTTCCAGTTATGATTCAGGGGAAATATTCAGTCATTGGCAAGAAAGAGGAGACGGAAAGAGGAGGAGATGGAAAGAGGAGGAGAAAAAAGTCCTAACTGAATTAAGCAAGAGCATCTCTCAGTCTGGCCAAGGGCATTCCAAATTGGAGTCCCAAAAATTGAAGTACCCAATATCACTGGCTTCTTTTAAATATTTTGGCCAAAGGACAAAGGAGGAATTGGGACCACAGAGGAAGTGCAGGATGGGGACATATTGAGGGTATGGTGACTAAAAAAAGGGGAAAGAATTTAAAAGAAAACATAGAAGGAAAGGAAAACCTAGAGAACAGTAAAAAAGAAGCGTCTGAATGAGAGACAAGAAAATGGAGGAAGTAAGCAGAATATGAAGCTCTGGGGAGAGAGAGAATCCTAAGCTATGATGAGGGAAGAAGCCTCAGTTACTGGCCTGCTGCCTTAGGCACCCATTGGCTGCCAGGTGGGAACGACAAAGGAGAGAGAAGCAAAGACAGTGGAAGGCTGAGGCTTCTAACTAAACCACAGGTTAAGTATTAGGAAGATGCCTGAAACCAATTCTCCCTTCTTTATGCACAGGTCAGTTCCTGGTGCACCAGTGATCCTTAACTGACCACTCAGTTTGAGCAGCCAGAGCTGAAGCTGAAAAAGGCAGCTTATTGTTGCTTTTTTCAAGGAAGCAACAAAAGGAAAATCATTTCATAATAATAAACTTATGGATGTGTACAGAAGTTGCTTTTTTGCCATTTAAAGTGCCTTATTGCTGTGAGTTAACAGAACTGCATGTCTTTAAGCACTTTAAAATGGGTACAGTGCTTTAAATTCACCCTTGTTAAATGAGGTATTAAATTTGAAGCACTGTCTTTCACAGCACTTTAGCAACCTACAGTGCTTTAAATAACTTCTGTACATTGGTCAAATTTCTGGCGATTCTGCCAGTATCCCATGGGCTTTGTGAGCTGCTGTCTAGCTCCATGGAAGATGTGGTGCCCATTCCCAGCAAAGAAGGGCAAGGGGGTGGAGGTGAGAGAGACACATCCTGGGTGAAATGGCCACACATCCTCCCCGCCACCCACATCCCCCGCAAGGCCCTGTGTGACTGGGGAGGTACCAGATTCTTGGACATGCTGCAAGTGGCACACGCACATACACACACACACCTGAGACCCTGCATGGCTGGGGACCAGCTACTTGGAGCTGGGCTGCCTGCTTGGGTGAAAGCTATTGTCTGGCCCATGGCAGAAGTGGTGCCCACTCCCAGGGTGTGTCTACATATGCACATTTACTGCACAGTAACCTAAATTACTATACACTATGGGCACACATCTACATGTGGACACCCATACTGCACAGTCACTGTGGTGACTTACGCTTATTTGGGCATAAATTTGATACCTGCATGATGCAGGTATCAAATTTACACCAGATTAGCTAGTGCTCAGTAACACACATGTAGACGCGTTACTGTGCAGTAACACTGTGTGTGTGGACTGACTTGGGACTAACTTTAGTCCCAAGTCAGACCACACAGCGTTAATGCGCTTTAATGCCTGCATGTGTAGATGCCAACCTATTTCTGCTTACTGCGTAATAAATTTAATGCAGTGTAAATGCACGTGCGCTCCCAGAGTGACAGCCTTTCATCCCAGTTCCACCTCCACTGCTCTGCTGCTGCCCACAGTCTCCTGAAGCCCTAGGAGGCTGCAGAGCACTCCCTGCCTCCTAGCCTGGAAAGTTCAGAGAGGCTCAGAGGCCTTCCCCCTACCAAACACTGCACTTCTAATATGTTTAAGAGCACTGTAACTTTATAGTGCTAGAAAAAGTGCTAGTCTGAGCAATGTTCTTTTAAATTAATTGGCTAAGAGAAAAGCTAAAAGTATGGCAAACCCTGATTGGAAAACTTAGGGTGATGCCATACCAAGGTATATATAGAAATCTTGCAGCTGGGCAGCGAGGGGGACAGAGCTGCTACAGAGTGCTGCTGCAAAACTGGGGAGCTGAGCTGCAGAGAACTCCCCATGGAGGGTCCCCCCCCACCTTGTCACTGGAGAAGTGAGTTGAAGCTATGTAACGGGGAAATCTAAGGTAGAGAGAGTCTGTCTCAGAGTTTGGGACTCAGCTTCTCTCCCTCTTTTCTCTCTTTTTCCTGAGTTTTGTGTGGAACAATGCCATGGGGGTATTAATTCCTGGAGCAAACTGACCAGGGGTGGAGCCTGGCAGTTTTGGGCCAGGATTGAGGCCTGCCACATTTTGTTGCTGTTGCAATTTATTTTATCTCAGCCTAGTTTGTGTGGCTGAGCCCTGCTGTAGTCCAGGCCCTGGTGCAAATAGGCCTGGTCCCCTTTTGTTGTTTTGCAGCTGTTTTGTCTCAGCCTAGTTTGCGTGGCTGAGACCCACTGTATTCTAGTCCCTAGTGCAAATAGGCCTGGCCTTTTTTGTTGCTTAGTCCGGGGCTGGTGCAGGTAGGCCTGGCCCCGCTTAAAGTTATTTTGCAGTTTTCTGTCCCAGATGGAGCTGTGGGATTGGGACTAGGAATTTTGGGGGTGTAATATGCTAACTGGAGCCACAGTCACCCCCTCAAAGTTACCATGTTGGAGTAGAGATTGGCGCCCTACAACATCCCAGGGAGCAACAAGGGGCCCCTTTGCAATGCAGAGGGACCGGCAGACACTAGGAGCTCCCTGAGGTACACTGAACCCCTAGGAACAGCTTATAAGACTCTGCAGTATGGGCCCCTCTGCCCCACCTGTTGCTGAGTTGCAGGTATAACGGTGCATTGAGCCTCCACAACTCAGACTGCCTGGGCATGGGAACTGAGTTTATTTAGTTTGGAGAAGAGAAGACTGCAACAGGATTTGATAGCAGCCTTTAACTACCTGAAGGGTGGTTCCAAAGAAGATGGAGCTAGACTGTTTTCAGTGGTGGCAGATGACAGAACAAGGAACACTGGTCTCAAGTTGCAGCAAGGGAAGTTTAGGTTGTAAATTAGGAAAAACTTTCTCACTAGGAGGGCGGTGAAGCACTGAGACAAGTTACCCAGAGAGGTGGTGGAATCTCCATCCTTGTAGGTTTTTAAGGCCCTGCTTGACAAAGCCCTGACTGGAATGATCTAGTTGGGGCTGCTCCTGCTTTGAGCAGGACGTTGAACTAGATGACCTCCTGAGGTCCCTTCCAACCCTAAAATATAATAATAATAGGCTTATTCTGTCTGTCCAGAGCACTCTGATTTGTTGTCTTGGCAGCCAATCACAATGCTTACTGAAACAACCAATCAAGAGTGCTCCGGACAGACAGTGCTCCGGACAGACAGTGCTCCAGACAGACAGAATAAGCATGTTATTACTATAGATCCTGAGGTATTTCAAACAGATATTCAGGCAAGTCAGAGCTAGAATGAAGCACCAGGACCCCCTCGCCACTGAGTGGGCAGGCTCCGCAGAAGAAGAAGAAGAAGAAATAAAAGTGGTTATGGGCCCGATCCTCCCCCCCGAGCCTGTCTGCCTCTCCCGTGGCCAGGGGGTGAGATGCTGGCAGGCCCTGAGCTGCAGAGGGCCCTGGTGCTTCCCTCCATGGCACCAGCACCCCCCCAGGATTGCCCAGGTGGGGTGCCACTGGGTGGGAGCTGGCCGGGGGTGCCGCCACTGCAGAGGGAAGCACTGGGGTCCCCCACAGCTCGGGGGCTGTGCAACTTGCTGGCAGCTCACTCCCTGGCTGTGGGAGACGCAGGCAGTTTCCAGGAGGAAAGAAAAAAAGATCAGACCCCTTGCCACTTTTTTTTTTCCTCAGCAGAACCTGCCTGCATGAGCTGCCACCACGTTGCACAGCCCCTGAGCTGTGGGGAGGGGCCCAGTGCTTCCCTTTGTGGAGGTAGTGCCTCCCAAGGCCACCCAGGTGGGGTGCTAGCTGTGCAGGTGCGGCCCCATGTTGCAATCAGCACCCAGTGGATCCAACGGTAGGTGGGGCGCTGGAAACCCGGGTGTGCTTGGGGAAGCTCAGCCTTGGTGGGCTTCCAGCACCCCATGCACCGTCCCCGCCACCTTCCTGCTGCCTGGGGCCACCCGGGAATGGGCTGCCCCAGGAAGGTGGCAGGATTGTGGCTGGGTGTGCTGGCAGCCGGAGAAGGTGGCGGGGATGGTGCATGAGGCACTAGAAGCCCACCAAGCCTGAGCTTCCCCAAGCATGCCTTGGTTTCCAGCACCTTGTACACCATCCCTGTTGCCTTCTCCAGATAGGACCTTTGTACATGTGAAGAATCTTGCTGTAATTTGTTACGTAGCAAACTAAAATGTATGGGATGTATTTTAGTTTGCTATGTAAAAAAGTCATTTAAATCGAAATACGCTGCCAAATGTGTACACTGTTACAAAATGTAACATGCTGCTAAGCGTGACACTGTTACATAATTAAATAATTAAAAAGGACAATTAAACCACTAAAAGTGTCAATTTCCTCATGTGTACAAGGGCTTTTAGTCACGTGTACAAGGGCCCTCTTATTCTATGACTAAGTCACAAGGTCAGACTTCTGACAAAATATGTATTTCTGTTCCTAAACCTGTGTTTACACATGGACAGCTTTATGTAGCCTTTTCGAGGGTGAGAAGTTTTGATTCCATTAAAGTATTTGGTCAAAGGATAACTAAAAATCCTGTATACAAATGAATACTTTTGCAATAAAAGTTTAATTGCAAATGTTTTGCGGGTTTCAGGTAGTTTTCTATGATTCTGTGGGTGGAGTCTCCCTAAAAGGGGTGCAAACTAGAGACTATACCCTGTATTTGATAGTGTTTCAAATTGCATTTGGTGTTTCCTTTATTTTCTTTGCCTGTGTTTTCTGTAATAAATCTGTCCTTTTATGTTTACACTGCTTGTGAGGAGAGGGTGTTATTTATGTTGGACACCCCAGCCAAATTCAGTGATCTGAAATTTCTGGGTGGGGTCTTAAGCCACAGTAAAAAATGAATGGGTACCTTAAAATTTGAACCTGGTCTTTGTTGCTGCCAACCAGTGCCTGGCTGAAGGATTACAGCTAGGGGTGCACCGATAGAGATTTTTTCGACCAATACCGATGGCCGATTTTAACGAGACATATCGGCTGATACCGATCCACTTTCCGATATGTGACCGGGGCAGCTTGGAGAGCAGCATCCAGCTGGTAAGTCTGTTGTGGAGGAAGGGGCAATGGGGGGAGGGAAAGGGTGTGTGTGGGGGGGGGGGCAGATTGAGGCCCCAGTGGTGAGGGAGGGAGTGGGGCTGGGGCAGGGGCAGGGGCAGGTGCTGCACAGCTGGGGTAGAACTTAGGATGGAGCCATGAGCGGATTGTCTGGGGGGTGATTCCCACTGCTGCATACACCCTGGGAGGGCATGAGGGGTGTGTGCCCCTGGATCTGCGTGTGAGGCGAGGGTGGGCTGCTGCTGTGGGCTGGGTCCAGGGTGGGGCCAGGTTGGGCTGCACTTGGGGCAGGAGGTGGCAGTGGTGGAAGAGGGCTATGGGGGAGACTGCAGCCCCCTCAACTCCCCTTCCTGCCCCTCAGTGCCACTGCTGCCCACCCTGAGTGCAGCCCCAGCCCAGCCCCCACCAGGAAGAGCCCAGTGCCGCACCCAGCCTTCAGCAGCAGCTTGCCCTCACCCCACATGCAGATCCGGGGGCACACACCACCCACACCCTCCCAGGCTATGTGCAACGCTGGGAGCTTCCCCCCTCCCCACCTCCCGATGAGCTGCTTGTGCACCACGGTTGTGCAGTGCCTGCCCCTGCCCCACTCCCTCCCTTACCGCTGGGGCCTCAATCTGTCCCCCCCCACAACGCCCCTTCCCTCACAACAGACTTACCAGCAGGATCTAGCTGCTCTCCATACTACCAGGCTGCACTCCTGGCCACCTGCGTGCTGCGTTGTGTCTGCGTGCATGCACGGGGCATTTATCGGCCACAATATTGGCCACATCAGCTAAAAAAAGCCAATTGCTGATAGTGCCAATTTTCCTTATATTTGTGCCAATCCGATATGGGACCAATGTATCCGGGCACTTCTAGTTACAGCTGAATCCAATTCCACAGTAGACTTCAAAATAAGGCTCTTTTATTCCAGAGTAAGAACATCTTTCCAGTGCAGCACTAATCAGGAACAGCTATTTTGTAATAACTCCCTTTGACATGCCCTTGGATTTCTGATTAACACAGCACCGAGAGTAAGGTATAGCTGTGTAATTTTTCATGCTGTATTTCACTTCAGTACATGACAGCTCCATTATTAATCTCACCCCACTTAATTTAAAACACCCAATCTAACTGCTTTAGTGGGGCTTGGGGTCCTGAGTCCAATCAGCTCCATATGAGCACGGAATAGTCTTAGCATTAATATACATGTTAATATGGTTGTAGTCAGAAAATAATTTTGTAAAAATCATGCCTTCTAATTACACTTATCTGCCTCCTGTGCCCCTCAGTCAGATCTTCTGACTTTAATGACACAGATAGTTTACTGTTCCTGTCCTGCACAGCTAACACAGCTATCGGAGGGGGAGCTGGTGTTTATTCTGCTTTGGTCACCAGCAACAGGAGAGTCTGCTCAGTTTTGACTGCAGGATGTTTATTACTGGTGAAGGTTGTGTAAACTCGCATTCATACAGCTAAAACATTTCATCCCAAGTACCTAACCACTCATGTGACATGCCTACTGAACACAATGAGTCAGTTTAATATAGTTCTGGGGTGGAATCCACCAGGTTGTTACCACCTGTGGAGCAGCACAACACAGCTGTTCATAAGTGAGAGGGCTGACAAACTTATCTAGGGAGAATTAAGATCGGGAAAAAGTGATCACCTTGGTTGCAGCTTATTCAAAAACCTTGGACTGATATAACCTGTGACTTTAAAAAAAAAATCCATGGGGAAGTCAAGTGGTCAGAACTGCAGATTTCCATCTTGTCTGAAAGAGTGTTTCAACAGCACAGTTCCCAAGGTGCTAAAAGATAGTACTGGTAGGGTACTGACTCCTAAGGGAGTGTGACATCTGCTGCCTAACCAGCAGCCCCTTCCTCCCCCCATTCATTTCAAACTTTCTTAACCTGTGGGGCTGACGGAACCACAGGACGGAGTGGCATGGCTAGGTAAAAGGCAGAAAAGGACCGTTTGTTTTTCAGATCCCAGGTTCTGTTTGCAGCAGTTTATAAATCAACTCATTTTTCTTAATGGAGATAATTTGAAATAGGTGCCATTAAGAACAGAGGAACCTGGATGCAACAGCCATCTATAGACATTTTCTCAAAGACTGTCTATTCTCCACTTTCTGGTGAAAAAAAGAAATTTTTGGCACATTAAACAGGTTGAATTGACACTGTATTGCCTACATCTCTAAAGAAACCTACTGAATTAACTTAGAAGATAAATACAATTGAATAGAAATCCCCTTTTCTTATTTCTTCCTTTACCGTTTCATCATTTCAGTCTAAGTGCCATACTCTCCAGCAGGCCCTCTTGTTGGAGCTATCTGCCCTGCCCTGACAGGCACTGCCACTCTTATATTTCTAAATGTACACATCTCTGGTCTTCCTAAATGCTACATACACTCACTTTTTGGCAAACCACAAAAGAATCTAAAATAACCTGACAGGTTCAGGTTTTGGTTTTGCGATATAACTTTGGTACTATTCAGAAGAACATTGCTTGGTGTCACTGACCTTTAAACATTTCAGTACTTTACGGTGTCAACTGCAAATCTTAAGTGTCAGTCCAGAACACCAATATTTACTGATGAACAGCAAGGATTGCTCTTCTGATCCTTCTGAGATTAGACATCTGTGCAATATTCCTTCACTTGCTTCAGTTCTGCCTAATGGACCCCATTCATCTTCTGTGAATGTACAGCCAGCGAAATTGCAGCACTTCATAGAAATGCTGCTGTTCTGCCATTGCACAGCGGCGACAGAAAGTTCCAGCAGTGGAGAGTTTAGCTCCTCTAAATCCCAGAAGGTGTACAGACAAGTGAGCTTGTGGGAAACTTCTTTCAGCTGCTTATGAAATGGGTTGAGTATTAAAAGTGGTCTTCCTTCCTCAGTGAGTTTCCCCTTCCTTTGGCAGTATCAAGACTTATATGATTGGCATGGTGACAAGGTCTGGGAAATATGCAGTGGAAATGCAACCATGTGTAAGTGGTGATTTCAGGAGCTAAAAATAATTAACTACATTTGGAACAAAGTTAAATGTGCATATCTGCAAACAAACTGGGGTGATAGGCCTCATGGGACTCTCTGCCCTACTGTGATGGAGCATAAGGTTTCCCTGATTCCTATATCCACCCTTCACTTCTCTGGCCTGACAGGATCTTGGAAGAGAGGCTTTATGGCCATGGACTTCGGAAGGAGAGTGGAGAAATTGAGTTTTGAGTTACAGGTATTTTAGCTCTTTTAATCACTCCTTGCAAATACCTCTTTTTCTGTTAATTAGGCCAGTAAAGACCAGCCTTTTAGGCAGGTATGCCACAGATTAACTCCACACCCTCCCCATGTGCCACTCTGATCCCCTTCCCCTGCTCAATCTGCTGCTCCGTTTTCTGTTCCCTTCCCTGTGCTCCCTGCCTGATCTAATGCTCTGCTTTCTGCTTCCTGCTCTATCTGCCCCTGTGCTTCCTGTCTCTTCCCCAACCTGTGTGCCACATGAAGAGGCTGTGCTGCAGGTTGACACCCGTGCTGCAGGTTGGCCACCCCAGACTTAGGTCATGGCCACCTGAATGGTTGCTGTAAGACAGGGAACCTTGAGACAAAAGCATAGCAGAAATAGCCTTGAGGCCACTTTGTGCATATGAACAGCTGTCCCAGGAAGAAACCACCTTGGTGGGTAACTCAGATAAAATTTCCTGGGCTGGACAGAATTCATGATTCTGAGTCATGTGACTGCAACTATTTTTTTCTTAGGGCTGGGGTTCTGGTTGCCTTAACAGATTCTTTTCTTCTGTGAAAACTTGCTTTCATTTACCATTTCTCTGGTGTTGAACTACTCCAAACCAGAGACAGCACTCTTGGGTACCACTGGGCATCACAGAGAGCAGGGTTTCAACATCATAAAAGGAGCTCATCCAGTTTGAAAGCCCTTACCCTGGCTTTGATAATGGTTGGCCGAGGATCCAGGATGCCCTGCATTTTTCTCAGTGCTGGGACAACAAAGAGATTGCAGGTGACAACAGCTGACACAGGGTTCCCTGTAGAGCAAAACACAAAAGTAGTTTACATGGAGTAATTTGGAATTCATCTGTGAAATGCTGATAATGAGCTCACATTTCTATAGAAACCTGCACTCCCTAGGGTCTTCAGAGCTTTTTTATGTTCTGTATATAAGAAATACATCATCCTAGTTTGAAGTGGCATGTGACAGTTGTTTAGTACACAGCTATACTGCTATTAGAATAGTTTCTAATACTATTCTGTAATACTATTGTTAGACAATTTAGACTATTCTCTGTGGCTGCAGGGGACACGACTAGGAGCAATGGCCTCAACATGCAGCACAGGACATTTAGATTGGAGGTTAGGAAGAACTTTCTCAATACTGAGGGTGGTTGAGCATTGGAACGGGCTATCTAGAGAGGTTTGGAATGTCCATCCCTGACATTTTCAAGAATGAGTTAGACGAGAGGTTCTCAAGTTTCTAGACTCAAGGCACCCCTCAGAATATGCCATCTCTTAGTTTTAACTTGTTTTTTGACTACACAAAAATAGTAGGGCAATTATGTTGCAAGGAACTCAGAAAGGTCACGACAGGTCAGAATGTCTCTGGGTGTATCTTGTGAATCATGTTTGTATACCTAACAGTGTTAACACTGTGCAACACCCTGCAGTGCCCTTGTAAGGATCTCAAAGCATCCCAGGCTGGGGCACCCTGGTTGAGAATCACTGGGTTAGACAGACACTTGACTGACGGCTTATTCGGGGATGCTTGCCTTGAGCAGGGACCTGATCTCATGAGGTCATGAGATACCTTCCAGCCTTACTTTTCTACTATCTTACCCACCAGGATAAGAAGTAAAGTAGAATACTATATCCACTTGAAATTGAAGGGTAAATTTAGAACTACAGAATGTAATTTAATGGATTATAATTTGGCTACAAGATCCTTAATAATCACACATCTCAAAACCTGGATTTATTCAATGAAGTGTAGCTCCTCACTCTATTTTGCCATGATGCCGCAATGCTTACAGAAAGCTTGACAACAGTTAGGCTGCTGCTGTGCTATCGCTCTTGCCCCATTGCTCTAACCAAGATAGTTTTGCTGTTTCGTTGTGCTATGCTCATCTCTGTCTCCCTGTTTTCTCCCTTTTTATATTTAGACGGAAAATTCTCTGGGGCAAGAAGAGTCTTTTTGCTTTGTGTGTTATAGCTCTAAGCAAAACGGGATCTTGGCCCATGACTAAGGTTACTAGGTGTGATGGTAAAACAAATAATAACTAATAGTAATAAATAATGACATTGCACCCCTTACATCACACTGGCAATGTGTTTCAGCAGCCCAGGAAACAGCTACAGGAGTTTAATATCGACTCAAAAGGGAGAGGTGTCACCTACTTTTAACCAATAGCACTTTCAACAGACAGCTGTGTTGCCCTTTGTGACTACCCTAGAAGTAATCATACTAGAGAAGAATGGTCTACCCAACTTTCTTCTGGCAAAACATATTGCAGCACATCTGAAGCAGGAGAGAGAGAATCTCTAAGTGTGTTTCTGATATATCAATCTCTCAGTGAGAACTGGAGCCCTGTGTGGTCAGAAATGCATGCAAGCCACTGAAGGCAGAGCAGAGCAAATTCTTCCTTGGTGGAGAACATGCAGGCTTGCGGCCAGATTCCAAACACAACACTTCACTCTCACTGATTTTTAGTAAGAGCCAACACAGTAGGTTAATCAATGCTGCCCTCTGTTGGTTCACAGAGCCTGGGTATGAAAATTAACACTGCAGTTCTGTGACTGTTTAGTTTCTTATCACAATTAGTGATACTTCAGATTTAACTAAAACAGGAAATGTTTATTGGGAGGGTGGAGAAAATGGGAGAGAGAGAATCTGTATAATGTTTTTTATAAGCACAAAAGAAGCTCTGGCTAGAAGAACTGTAGCGTAAGAGGTAAAGACTCTATCACGTCTTTTTTTAGTACAAATTGGTGGAAAAATCTCAAATGCTATGTGCTGAGGGAGCAAGTGTCAGGTCTCTGAGCCTCATAAAACATCACGTCTTACCTGGGAGTGCAAAGATTATTTTTCGTACACCATCAATATCCAAAGTGGCAAAAGTTGTTGGCAAGCTGTAGAAAAAGAAAGTCGTTTACGTATATATGTATACTGAATTCTCACTGAACACAGCTATGCTATTTTAGCATGCAGAATATTTTTCAGTCATTTAGTAATTTGCCATTTTCTATATCTTCTTTCTCTTAACTCTTTTTTTAACCATTTGAGTGGTGGTTCTCAACCTTAAGACATGCCTCGGAAAATGCTAGCTCTTAGCTTTCACTCATCTTTTGACCATAGAAAAATAATATAGCAATTCTTCTGTTGCAAAGAACTCAGAAAGACCACAACAGATCAAAAAGTTTTCAACACTAGGATTCTTGTTTGAAATTTCTGGGTTTATCTTGTGAAACATGTGTAGGTGTTTGTGCACCCAGTTGGGCTAATTTTGCTAATGGCACTCTATGGCACCTTTAAAATGAACTCATGGCACCTCAGGGTGTTGTGGCACCATACTTGAGAATCACTGCCTTACAGCACTGAGTATAATCAACCTAATCAAATTGTGTTGAAAAACTTGCCATGATTACATTAATCTCTAAGTCCTTGATACCCTAGCTCTATCTCAGCAACTACTTCAACTGCTGGGAGAAATTTTTTTGGGGGCGGGGGCTGAGTGTGCACCCTCCCCACAGGCAGGAAAGTCTGCGGGGGGAAGGGAAAGGAGCATGGGAGTGGGGGGAGGGAGTTGGCCTGGGACTGAGCAGGGATTGGAAGGGAGCAGAGCAGAAATGGGCCCAGGATTGGGTCTGGGGCCCGCTGCGCCTGTGTGGCTGCCTCTTCACCCACGCCTGGGATCGCTGCCTGGCATTGGTGCCTCCTGCACCAATGAAACCACTGCACCCCAGTCTTGCACCAGCCCTGGCTCTGCACTGCCTGGGGGCCCCAGAGCTGGGGGGCCAGAGCAGGGTCAGCCTCGGCTGCACCGCTGGACCAGAGGAGACGGAGCCCCTGGAACCCCTTTGCCCACCCTGCCCCAAGCTGTCATTGCTCTCTGGGGCGTGTTGGGAGGGGGTGGCAGCTCCCACCACTGCACATGTCCTGGGAGTGCATGGGGGGGTGAGTGCCCCTGGATCTGCGCGGGGCAGGGCAGGGTGCTGCTGCAGGCTGGGACAGAGGCTGCACTGGGCTCTTCCCAGCCCGCCCTCCCCTTCCCCTGCTGTGAACAGCCCAGCGCAGCCCTGGCCCCAGCCCCAGCCCCAGCCTGCCCTGCCCTGACCCATGCAGATCTGGGGGCACATGCCCCCTGTGCCTCCCAGGGTGCTGGTAGCAGCAGGAGCCATGCCCCTAGATGAGCTGCTTGTGGCTCAGTCCTGCACCTCACTAGCTGTAGTGCCTGCCCCTCCCCTAGCCCCACTCCCTCCCCACCCCTGCTGCGCTGGAAGCCCTTGGCTGGGCTGTCTTGTGGCCCTATCACTGCCCCACATTTGGGGGAACTCAGCCCCATTAACCCCCCCTTCCACTGCCTATGCTTCTGAAGAACAATTCAGGTTTTAGCACAGGTGTGTATACAGAGAACAGGGTAACCTCCAAAAGCCTGGAGGCAGCCAATAGGAAAGGCTAAAAGTCCAAGGTGAGTCTGAACTTCCACTGCTCTCAGAGTCTTAAATGCTTAATTGAAGCTGCACATTAACCACCTGTTCACTTGCAATACA